CCACCGCTCCCACCTGGCTGGCACAGGCAGGACATGGATTGCTGACACATCCCTGGGAAAAGGCGTTTGTGCAGGTCCTGCTCAGCCAGAACGTTGCAAAACCAGGACTCACTGCATGGCCAAGGGAGTGGAAACTTCCCCAGCTGATCCCGGTACTGCAGCTCATTATTTATTTAGGAGTATCTGCATTTATATGAAAGATGATCCCAGAGGTGCTCGTTTGGCAGCTGAAGATTTCTTGGGGAAAAGAGGCCACAGAGCCAGGACGGGCTGGTCCAGTGCCCGAGTCCTGGGATGGATGGGAGGGGTTGGAGAGGGATGGTTTGGGTTGGAAGGGACCTTAAAGCCCACCCAGTGCCACCCCCTGCCATGGGGACACCTTCCACTATCCCAGGTTGTTCCAAGCCCTGTCCAGCCTGGCCTTGGACACCTCCAGGGATGGATCAGCCATCCACAGGACACCCTGTGCCAGGGCCTCAGAGGAGAGGAATTCTCCCCAATATCCAGTTCTGCTCCTGAACTGCCTGTGGGGCTCTGAGGTATTTTGGTGCCACTAAAATACATCTGTGATAAAGAAGAGCTTCTGGATATCAAAATTAGCCAAAATTTGGATACCAATTACCTCAGATTATTGGATAGCACGTGAGGCACCTGTAGCCAGCTGTGGAAGGTTTGGGCACAGAAAGAACTTGGAATTTTTTTGATGTGTCTCCACACCGAGCCTGAGGCAGCATGGACTGCAGGGTGTAGGTACCCACACCTCAGAACCAGTCTGATTCCACATGATTTCACCTTTAATTCTCATGTGGGAAGAAATATTGGAAAGGGAAATCAAAAATGTGTGGAGAAAACTTCTTGGGATGTATTATTTATCTGAAGTGAAATACCAGACATGTCCCAAACTTCCCCTGAGCAAGGCACCATTGTGTTCGGAGCTGGACGCGTCAAATGAGTTTGCAGCATCTTTTTTGAGCTGTTCCTTCATAAATCACTCAATTTCTGTGCATTTGGCAGGTAATTGCTGCCTCAGTGAGGCTTCTCTCTTGTGCAATTTGTGGCTGTGGGAAATGCAAGGAGCTGCTGGAAGCCCTTTCCTCTGCCAGCCCGATGGGCGAGGCTGTTGCTCCCCATCTTTAATTACGGTGCTGCAATCCCATCCCATCCCAGCCCTTTCCATGCCAGGCTGCTTTATCCTGAGCCTGGCCTCACTTGTTTCCTGTCAAATTCTCAAATTCCCCATGATGAACGTTTAACCTGCATTTTCTCTCCCCTGTTCTTTTTTTTTTAAATTACCTAAAGCTCCTAAAAATTCAGAGTGTAACTCATCCTTGGGTATGACCTTGAAATAAAGAGATATTTCTGATTTACTCCATGATTACAAAGCAAAGATAGGAGCTGCCAGAAAAAATAACGGGAACAGCACCCTGGCTGCCAATGGATCTATTCCTGACCCTGCCACAATTTACTTTCATTTCCTCCCTCTTTGCTCAGTCATTGTAAGAAAAATCTGCTTTGTGTTTTTTTTTAAATGGACTTGCCAGATTTACTTTATTTTCTGTCATGTGGATACTTCTCCTCTCCTCTTTGTCCTGGTTCCTGACTTCTTCCTCTTGCCTGAGCACATTCCAGCACGGAGATTCTTATTTTGATGCAGAGATTCTTATTTTGATGCAGAGTGCATGGTTTTAATTTCACTTTTAAACCCAAACTAATCTGTGTTGGTAATTGATGAGGGCTATAACTTACGTTAAACCACATAAAACAATTTCCACAGCCTTTTTTGAGCTTGGACCTCCTTATTCCAATAAAAAGGAGGCCTTGGTTATCCTGGCTGTACTGAAACCCCGGGATCAGCAGAGTTTATCAGCTCTTACCTGTCCTGATGGAGCAACTGCTGAAATAAGGGTGGAGCAGGCAGGGATGATGACAAGAGAGAATTCTTGGAGTTAATTCTGACCTCCACCCGTGAATCAGAGCCTTCCAGCCAGGGAGTTTCCATGGAAGTTGCCTGGAGATATTCCCAGGATTTGGGCTCCCCAAATCCAGACCAAAGATTGTTTATTGGAAGGAACATGAAGGACAAAGTTGATTGTGATTTGAACCGAGGGGCTTTGTTCAGTGCAGGCTGAATTTTCCTGCTGTGTGTGGGGACAGAGTGAAGAGGAACCCATTTCCTGATACCTTTTCCTGGTGGAGTGCTGGGACAAGCTCAGATCCAGCCTCTGGAGCACCTCAGGAGCCACCAGACCTCCCTTGTCAGCTCACAAACACCAGATTTTCAATTTCCTGGGATTATTTTCCCTGCACATTTCATTCATTTCAGCTCCTTGATTCCCTTGACTACAAGAATTCTGCAGCTGGGCTGCTTTGGGTGGTTTGATGTTGGATCTGTGAATCTGCACTTTGAGTCCAGCTTTGCTCCTGACTTCCCAATTTGTCCCTTTGTGGTGGGATTTCAGGATACAGCCGTTGTTTGGTGTTTGAGGGAAAAATAATTGAAATTCTTTGGGTAGGGGTGAGAGGACAGGGCTGCTTTTGCTGCATGAATATTGATCATTCTGTGTGATCAAGAGAAAGTTAATTATTCCACGCTCTGTAATATTTCATTTGCAAATCTGCCTGTTCTGCTTTAATTTCAGTGCTCAGCCTGGCACGTGGCCACTTGTCCACGTCTGTGCCCTGGGGTGCAGCAATTCATCTGGGAGAATTGTCCCAATTTTTCCTCTCTCTGGGGCTGAATGATTGTAATTTGCTGTTTATGTGGTTCTGCTGATTCTTCTACACCTGCTGCGCTTCTTTTACCGTGGCTTAAGCAGTTGTTTGGATTTTTTCCCCTAACCTCTAAATAATTAGGGAATTAAATTTAAAAGTGGAGCATCTGAATTAAAAATTTTAGATTACGGCTGAATCACAATGATGGGAAAGCCTTAAAAAAAAAGAAAATAAAAAGAAAAAAAACCCCAAACTTTTTTAAGATTTAAAAATTTCATAAGCACAGGAATTTTCCCTGGAATTCTGACTACACTGGATCCTCAGACACGCAGGGACACTGGTGGTGATCCTGATCCCTGTGTTCCCTGGGGAACAGCACTAAGGAAAAGATCCTTGGGAAGCTGTTTTTAATGGTTTTAGGGAAAAGCTGCCCTCAGGGGCTTGGGAGGAAAGTTCTGGAGGTTCATGGTCTGGGCACGTGGATGTGTTGTGGCCCTCAGTAATGGATTTGGGAGCTGATCCATGAAATTGGCCAGGAAACCTTTATGGCAGGATAAATGTGAGCTCAGATGAGATGAAATTAAGAAAATGAGTTTTAAACAAGAGGTGTATGGTGCTGGCCAGCTGAGCCCCAACATTTCTCATCCCTTAAATTAATGGGGCATTTGTACTTTCAGGGTCAATGCAGCTGGAATTGGATCATCTCCTGCTCTGCTTTTGTTCCCTTTTTTCACTGCTGGATTATTGGCTCTGTTTGCTCTTTTTATTTGGATTATTTTTGGTGTGAACACTTCCAGCTGCTGTGCTACAATTAGCCCAGTGGAGCAATTAACTACAATTAACATGGAGCTATAATGAAGCAGGAGAAAAGAGTCTTTCATAAAGAGCCTGACATCACAACCCTCACAGGAGAGCTGTCACCCATGTACTGGGCATACTGGTGTTACTGGGAGCTCCAAAATTCCACCCTGCCTCCTTAGTGTGCAGCTGTGATCCCGTGGAATCCCATTGTCCAGGAATGGGGTTTTTTTTCCCCAGGGAAAAGGATTTCAGAGCTGGAACAGTTTCCTAGGATGTAATGTGGTCTCAAGCTGTCAGAAGTGTTATCTCACCTCCTCTGTCTTTTAGCTGGGCAAAAAAAAATGCTTCTGTTCCCTGCTGAGTGCCAAAAATCCCTTGAAGTTTCCTGCTGGAACCCAGTGATTTGGAATATTAAGTAGGGAGAGTTATTTCAGCTTTTCTGGATGCAAGGAGAAGGGAAAAGGGCTGGGGAAATCTCAAAAGGTTTTTAGCAGAGATTGTTTTCAGCAGCTTCTTTCCTTCCCAGTAAATACATCTTGCCTAAACCCTTAAGAATTCACACAAAAAATGAGTTTTCACTCAGTTGAAAATGCAGGGACCCTCCCAGAAAGCACCTGCTGCTGTTTCCTGCACCTCCCAAAGCCAAACAAAGGCACCAGGCACAACGAGGAAGAAAAGTGCTTTGCATGGATCCCACCATGGCAGGGCAATGGAAACCCTGAACAAAGTCCTCTCCACATTCTGTTTGCCAAATGAAAATCGGGGTGTGTGCTCCTGGAGACAGGAGCTCCAACCTTTGCATTTCTGAAAAAAAGCTTTTCCTTGTGCTCTGAAAGTTGACTTGGATGTCATGGGGAAGAAATCCACTTTTTAAGGAATTAAAAATGAACGGGAGCAGGACTGACGAGGAGGTGCCCTGGCACTCACACCATCAGTATTATCTAGATGAGCAGAATCTTTGGAGATACAATTTAATCCCACTTGGAGATAGAATTTATACCAACTTGCCAAGTAAATATTCTCAATTTTTCACCTCCAGTGATGGGATTATAACTTCTAGTCTATTTTACAGACACTTTTAAGAGGAATTGTGGCAGGTTTTGCCATTTTTCACCTCCTGCAGTGCTGTGTTCATTACTCGAGGTGTGATTACAGCTTGGCACCTCGTATTTGCAGGTTACCAACTGTGATAAACTGTCAGGACAGCTCCTGCTGGAGCCCAAACATCTCAGCTGAGCCCTCAGCACACTCAGGTATTTCTTAATCCCTCAGTCTGAAGCAGATCAGAGGTTCTTTTTTCCCTCCAGTAACAGGAGAGGTCTTGGCTTGGAGTTCACCCCAAATCCATTTAAAGGATTCTCAGACCTTGCCCCAAAACATTCACCACAAAATAATCCGTCTGCCACGGTGCCAGCCTGGCCCCCACACATCCAGAATATTTATGAATGAGTGGAAAACACAGGAGAGCTGAGTCACACAGCCAGAGGTCATTTCTGAAGAATAAAATTTTATTTCTTTTGGCTGAAAAAACTGCATACACATGTTCAGATCTGGGCAACCTTCACCACATGTCTTCGTTTCCAAACCAACTTGTGCTTTGAAGCATGCAGGAGCCCACTGCAGCTTGAGAAAGAAGTTAAGAGGTTTTTTTTTTTGTTGTTTTTTTTTTTTTTAATCTAGAACTGTGCAAACATCATTTGAAAGCTATTTACATTTTGCACCTCTCACTTCTACTAACAGGAGCATCAGCTGGTAGAGACGTGCAGTGTGCAGCTGTAATTTATGATTTGGCATCCACCTTTGATTTGTGTCGAATGAAAACCGAACAAACCTCCCATTGTTCCAAAACCTCCCCACGGGCAATGGTAATAAATCTAATTTCTTCTTTGTTAAGGAGATCTCTTTAAGCCTTCCCTGCAGGTATTAAAATATTATTTCCACTCTGGATCCTCTTCCCCTGGTGCTGGTGAGTGGGAGCAGCAAGAAAAGATTTTGATTTTCATCAGAGAAGGCAGGAGGGCACCGAGACAGAGCAGGGCTGCTTCTTCCTGTCATCCTCACTAAACTGCAAGATGAGGTGGAGAATATTTTTTTCAAAAAGAAAATATTTTAGACCATCTGATGCAGAAACTTGGACGTGAAAAAAGCTGGATTTAAGTTCATCATCCTGTTGCTTTCTCTTCCAAGTTCCTTTCCCATCCATGAAAGCCTGGAATCAGCCAGACATGAGCATTCCAATCCTGTGGGATATCCCCATTTTCTATCTCCTCTAGCCTGCCCACGGCACTGTGCTGGTAGAACTTTGGGTGTGATGAGCCACCAAAAGTCTCACCAGAGTGGTTGGATGAGGCTGCTGGGAGTGGGAGCTGCCGGGATCCTTGGATCCTGTGCCATTCCCAGAGTGTTCATGGAAGGGGGGCTGTGCTCGGTGCCTCGCTCTGCTCTCCAGCCCCGGAGGTGAAGCAAGCAGGGTTTTCCTAAGAGCCAAACTGGAGCACAAACATTTCACAAAGCTGCGAGAGCTGCCGGGCCCTGCTGGCCCCGGCTCAGTTCAGCCCCGCGCTCTCGGGCTGGGGCCCGAAAATCTGGGAGAAGAATTCCAAGGCCAGGCGGACGTGGATGGGCACGAAGACGTAGGCAGTGTACACCACCATGGCCAGCACGGTGACGGTGATGGTGTGGAACATGGACTGCTCCCAGGGCTCCAGCACGTAGCTGCACGTCACCAGCTGGTACTGGTAGTACAGCCAGTACAGGTAGTCCTTCACCCTCTTCACGTCCATCTTCAGCTCCAGAGGGGTTGGAGAGCACCTGGAATGACAGGGAAATGGGGATTACAGCTGGGATATCCCATGGAACCTCTACACAAACCTGTTTTCTGCAGCTGCTGCTCAGTTACTGGAGCTGTCTCAGCTCAGAGTCCATTCCCACTTCCCAGAAAAGCTGTGGCTGCTCCATCCCTGGGAGTGTCCAAGGCCAGGTTGGAGCAAGCTGGGATAGTGGAAGGTGTTCCTGCCCATGGCAGGTGTGGAACTGGATGATTAAACTCCCTTCCCACCCAAACCTTCCTCTGATTCTATCGATTCCCACGTTCCAAGTGTCTTTTCCTATCCATTCCCTGTGGAAATCAGGGAAAGAGGCATGTAAAAAGAATGGCTTTGGGCCAGCTTCTATAAATATTCCATAAATTCCATGTATGCCCTGGAATAAAGATGAGATTTAAAACAACTGCTCTGTAAAAACTCCTCTGCTTACTTTTGATAATCATTTTTATTGTTCTGCAATTGTTGGGAATAAAGAGAAGCCAAGTTATGAAAGAGGGAGGAAAAAAGTAATCTCCGATTGCAGAAGGATTTTTTTTGCAGCTCATTCTGAAGAAATGAAAAACATTACAGATTAAAAGAGTATTTAATGGAAATTACCAGTCTAGGAAAGATCTTCCTCTTGGGTAATACCTTTATTCATTCATTGTTCCTGGCTCCACTTGGAAAAGAGAATGGCTGAGCAAGAATTAAATAGGAAATAGGGTTTTCTTCCACTGTTCATTTTTAAATGTGCTTTTTGGCATTGGAAACAATCTTTAAATGCAGGCTAAAAGCATCTCTTTAGAGAAAATAGAATGATAAGAAAGTGTACAAGGCTTTACAGAGGGATTCTGTTATTTTGGGGTTTAAGGGCGTTCCAAGCACATCAGTCCATAGGGAATTCATCAAATTTCCCTGCTGGAAAACCTCCCAATGCTCCATTTTCTTCTACACTTGTGCTGCCTAAAATGCCAGAACAAAGAGGCTTGGACACATCACATCCCTCCAGTCTGAATTTGGGGCAACAGAACTTTGCTGTCCCTCAAAGCAGCAAATCCTGAAGTGGCACTGGGAAATTTGCAGCCTGGGATTAAAGCAATGATGGGCCACTGATGGACGGCAAAAATATTCCAATATTCCATTGGAATTCAATTCAAATGGTTTCCTGCTCTGTTCTGGGGGCATGTGGGATTTACCAAAGGGAAGTTTCTCCCCTCTAATTCTCCCAAAGCATTTCCTTCACTTCTATCTCCCCGTATTTCCTAGACAAGAAATTTTCTACAATACTTTTGGGGTACAGATCACCATGTGAAATTTAGCAGTGGCTGTCTCTGTGACCAGCTTTTCTTGCAGGAGCTTTTTCTTGGGGAGAAAGGCACTGCTGCTCTCTGGGCAGGCATGAATGGAAGCTGATTCCTTTCAGATCATTTGTTTGAAGGCAGAACTCCAGAGAGAGAGGCCTTAAAGCCTTGGAAATATTGCAAAGCCTTCAATAAAACTGGCCCAGCTGGCAGAGTGGCACTCCCTGCCAGCCAAAAGTGTCTCTGTTTGGGCTTCCTGCAAAAAGAGCAGCATTTCCTGCAAAAAGAGGGGTGAAGTGCAGTGGGGAGGAGGAGGGGAAGGGGAAGGAGAAGGAGAAGGAGAAGGAGAAGGAGAAGGAGAAGGAGAAGGAGAAGGAGAAGGAGAAGGAGAAGGAGAAGGAGAAGGAGAAGGAGAAGGAGAAGAAAGGGAAGGAGAAGGAAGGGAAGGAGAGGAAAGGAGAGGAGAAGAGCCCTCTCACACTCTCCAGGATTATGGGATTTACACTGGACTTACGGCTGTGCTGGTTAAACTCATCCCTTCCGAGGGAAAATCCCTGCTAATCCTGACCCCTGCCCGAGGAGCTCCAAGGCTGGAGCACTGCTGGGGGTGTTTGAGGCTCTGAGTGACCAGAGGTGCACAGACTCCCTCCTTCTCCTGGTTATCTTCTGGTTAGGGACAGCCAAAGGCAGGGAAAACATCCCCAAGGCTGATTTTAGTGATATTCCAGGCTGCAGCCTCACCATCATCACTTGGAGGGCCACATGAATAAAGGATGAGGCAGTTAAAATGATGAGCAGCCCTTTGGATTTCACCAAAGCCCCTGGCACCCTTTTTCCAGCCTGGGGATTGCATTTCCCTGCAGCTCCAGCACAGCCTGGCTTTCTTTGGTTCCCCCAGCTCTCAGGGCAAGGGAGTAATTCCATCCCCAGGCACTCAGACATTCTGGAATTGCAGGAGGAACACGAGCTGCCTTCATGTTCTGTGGTCTCCTAATGAATGATGGAGGTTGGGATAAGTAAAAGGCAAAAAGCAAATTACAGTCTGTGCCCTCACCACTGCCACGCTTCCCCTGCATCTCATCCAGCCTGAGACTGCCTCGGGAGCTATACAGGGATAACAACTCCAGCTGCATAATTTAGAGAGGAAAACCCAGGGGGGCAAGGGGAAAAAAGCCATTTTAAAGCAGCTGCTGAGGCAGTGAGAGACAAGGCTCCCCCGTGGCCCTGGCACACGGATCCCCAGGGGAAGGGACAGTTCACATCCCTTTGGGCCCATTCTGAGGAATAAGGAGAAGCCCAAACCCCCACACCTCCAGAGGTCTGTGGCTGCTTTACCACCCAAATTAATTGTAGCAGCAATCAAAGGGAATAGCAGATTACTTAGGCGAACTTTGGAGGCTAAAAAATCTGTATTTTAAACAGGATTTATCCTAGAGAGGCTTCCCTTCCACGACTCTGCTTTATTCTATTACAGCTGGCACTCCCACTTGAAAGGGCCCTGAGTTATTCACTCATCAGTTCCCACTATTCCAGAGAAGGAGATAATTTGTTCTTATGCAATTTTAACTTAACATTCATTTGTCTACAAATTTGGATTTAAACATTCAGTGGTGTTGGGGAAATGCCTTTCTGTTTAGAGGCCACGGGACTGTTACAACCAGCTATGAAGAGAATTCAGCTCCTGTTAAGCAATATTCAGGTTATTTTCAGCAATTGCACCTCCAAGAGAAAAAAAAAATGCAAGAAGAGAAACCTGCAAAGCAGCTTTTAGTGTTTTAAGTGGCTGCCTGATTTTCTTGCATGTTGACACATGTCTCTGATTAGGGCAGCTGAAAAGATAAATCATCATCCAAATATCAAGGTTTCATTCCAGAGCACGCCAAATCTCCCAAATTTCTGTACTAATGACCTTATTTTCCTGAGTCAGAGCTAGCTGGGAGTTAGATGATGCCAGTGTTAGGTCCTTTAATGTGTAAGCTCTGCTCTGAGCAGGAGGGATTTGGGAAATTTTGGTCACGTTTTCAATCTGCAACTTTGACCCGTGGCCGGACAGCTCCTGCTGGGAAATTCCTGTGGAAAGAAACATTCCTGCAGGGGAACTGGGAGAGACTGGTTTTGCAAAGAATGCTTGAAAAATACTTTATGCCCTCAGCAGGAGCAGTTGGTCGAGTTACACGTACAGGGGAAAAGAGTTTCCAACAAAAATTCAGGAGAAGTTCATCTGGAGTGGGAAAAAACAAAGCCTGGAGCTGGAAATGCCCTCATGATCACTCAACAGGTGATCTCTGCTGCTTTGAATGGAAAGTAGGGACGAGATGAGAAATAAAAGCATCAAACAACCAATTCATCCCCAAAATACAAATATTTAATTGGCTAAAAATGGCCATTTGCTGAATAATTGCTGGGATAGCCCAGCAGCAAGAGTGGATGGAGTTTGAAGCATCCTGAGGGAATCCTCTCATGCTAGAGCTTAAATAAAATCCTTCCACAAGTCCCTGAGGGGGTTTCCAGTCCTAGAACCCCTGAGCACCCACATGTAGGCAGGTGCAACCAGGCAAAGTGCCAGAATGAATTTAAAGTTGTCTGGTCTGTAAATAATTTTGATTATTAGAAGCTAAATGGGCAATCACCTCCTTGGGGTTGAAATAGGAATCCCATCTGCAAGTTAGTGATGTGGAACTGCTCTAATTTGTAACTTAGACATGCTGTAAAATGGGTTTGTTCTGTGGAATATCCTGATTTATCCAAGGCACCAGTCTTGTCCCTCTGAATGCTGCCATGATTCTGGGATGAGCCCAGTGGTTTTATGCAGGCTGACACCTCCAAGAGCAAACTGAACCAGGAAGGGATTCCCATTCCCATTCCCATTCCCATTCCCATTCCCATTCCCAGCCCATCAAAGCCTTTCCTTTCATGTTTTATTCAGTGAGCACCAAGCACAAGGTGTACAAGGAATGAAATGCTCAGCAGTTGGGCAGAAATTGAGATGAGGCAGCAGATTCCAGGGAATCCGGAATCTTTTACATCCCAGCATTTCATCCCAGCATTTCCTGGGAGCACACCTCAGCCTGCTCCAGGGAATCCTCATCCCAGCATTTCCTGGGAGCACACCTCAGCCCGTTCCTCTGCGCATCCCCACGGCTCCGATCCTGCACGGAGCGTGTCCATGGAGCAGCAGCTCAGCCTGGAGAGCTCCTTCCCCTCCTGGCAAGCAGAGCCCTCAGGTTCCTGCAGCACTCCCACATGGATCTTTAAATTTAACCTCCAGTTTGTTCTCCCAGGGAGGAAATTCCAGATGGAATGGGAGGGAGAAGAGCAGCAACAATCCCAGCACAGCTCCTGCTGCAGACAAGAATGCTCCTCAAAATCCACCTTGTCTTGCAGATTTTAATAAATAACCACTCCTGGAATTCTGGAGTGCACAGCAGAGTGAAGCAATCCTGCACCTTTAGCCATCCATTCCAGGAAATGTAAATCCCTTCCCTATGTCCTGGGCTGAGGTTCTGAGCTGGGGAGATCGTGGTGCTCTGCATGACTCAGCCATTCTGCATGGGGGTGAAAAGCTTTGGCTGAGCCTCTGGGCTTTGCTGGGATAAAAAATCTTCCAGGAGTGGAAGGACCAAGGCAGAAAGAGCAATGGTGTTTCCAGCCCTGCTTCTGTTTTACCTGACTCAGGAGAATTAATTCCAGCATCTTCCTAATCTTTAACCCCAGCTTCCTTCCTGCTGGCCCCAGTGGGAGCTCACAGGTGCTATTTTGGTTCTTTCAGATGTTGCATAATGCACACAAGGCCCAGGACCTTTCCCTGTGCAGGAAGATTTCCTTTTACCTCTGGAACCTCAAACCCCTCCTCGAGTTGGCAGTGCCACACCTGCACAAAGTCTGACCCGACTTCCTCGTCTCCAGCTGAACCCTGATCCGTGTGTGTGCTCCTCCTGCAGCAATTCTGGGCTCCCAACCCGGGCTTTGGTGCTGGAATTCAGCTGCATCTCTGCCTGGAGCACGAGGATTCCTGTCAGCCTGCCTCGCCAGCTGCATGGCACAACAGCCAGAGGCTGCTAGGTTTTCTCCTTCAGCTCAGCTCAGTACACAGATGGAGTTTACCATGACCTACAACCATGTGGAAAAGTCCTTTCAAATGAGACCCACACGTTTGTGACCCTCAGGAAAGCAGAGCTTGATCTGCAGCACCCACAGGGATCTCATTTGGAGAGAGGCTTCTCACCATTCGGTACCAGCACAGCAGCTGAAAGCAGCTGAACTTGGCACTGATTTCATGCCTCAGCTGCCCCCAGCAAAGCCACAGCTCTAAAGAACTCAGCTGTCCCCAGCTTTGCAGCCTGGCTGATTTATCGGTGCCCAATCCCATCCTTAGGCACAGGGAAAGGAGAAGATGCAGCCTCTCTGTTAGAACAACATTCCTGGAGCAGCTCTGTCCCATTTTCTTCCAAGGCCAAATTAATTTTTCAACAATTTTCTTGTTCTTCCCTCCCTTGAAGTTTCCTCAGTTGTTTCCTTACATAACCAGCTGCTCCTTGCAGTTTGGGAACAGATCCCTTCCTTTCCAGCTTTCCTGGGCTGAGCGTGGTTTGGGCTCTGGGTCCTCCCCCTGTGCCTGGATTTGTACCTTGGAGCAGCTCTGCCAGAGAAAATGGGAAAAATGCAATTTCCCAGGGAAAGGGAAACCTTTCCCACTGTTTTGAGTGTAAACATAATTTAGGAATGTGGTTTTGAACGGAACAATTCCCAACCAAAACCTCAAGTTTGAGACCAGGGAGCATCACCAGCTTTAAACTGCAAACACTTAAAAATGGAGAGTTCTCAAAGAACTGTTCTAGGAATATCTCAGGAGGGTTCTGCATTTGCTCCTGGTGACAAACCTCAGTTCCTTGTGAAACTTGGGACATCATCTACATCCTTTGAAGGCTTTCAAGTTGAGGAGGCTGTGTAAACACATCAACCTATCAACAAAATAACCGAGATGTCTGGGCTCTAAAATAAGATTTACATTCTGTTGTAGCCCCTATTTTATTCAGACATCTTTGCTTTGCTCTGAGTCATTTCTGAGGCAGCTGAAAGCAACAGCTTGGGTTGTGTGCAACGTGAGGAGGTGAATATTGTCACAGCTATGACAGGTATCAGTGGAAAATGGGTCCAAGCTCTTGTGCAAGTGCATCTCCCCTGAGATCTCATCAAAGGCAGCAGAGTTGCACCACTCCAGTCACTGCTCCGAGAGGGGAAAAGCAAAACTGGAGTGAGATTCTTGCAACAGATAAGAAATTAAAAAGGAGATGCACTCTTTTCACAGATTTAACCCCATCTGTGCAGCAGGGAACAGGTTCCTTTGCAGGCCACTTTCCCCAAACAGGTTTGGACACACAAAGCTGTTGACATCCATAAAACAAATGGAAAACTCCATAAAATGTGGCTTGGCAGGACCCAGAGCAGAGCCCTGGCTGCCTCTGAGCCAGCTGGAGTTCTGTGTCCTGCAGCTCCTGTGCTGGATGCTTTTTGGGCACAGAGGGGTGGGACATTGCTGTGGGGCCAAGCTGCTCCCCAGGCAGCGTTTCAGCATCTCCCATTCCACTGGAATTACCTCCATGCTCCATGCACAGCTCCCCTGCTTCTCTCCACTAAACCTGCACCAGAAATCACTCCAAGCACTCATGGAGTTGCTCCCAAGACACAGTTATTTGTACCATACTCATGATGTTCGTGAGAGAAACAAATCCAAGCACCCCAATTCTTAAAGCATTAAAATCCACATTAAAATCCCCTCAAAGTGCCTTGTGCTTACTAAGCAGAGCTGAAGCACTTATTGCAGGGATTCTCCTCCATATTATCCAAGGTTTATCCAACAGGGAAGGCAGGACTTGCACCTGCTTCCCACTGAAGGCAGCCACCAGCGACTCTAAGAAAGCCAAGAGGAGAAATCCTCCAGCGATGAGCGTTCCCAGCACACGGTGTGAGCAGCACCTTCCCTCCTCCATCACCCCCCACCTATCGCAGCCTTTCACTCCTGCCTGTTTGCCGATTTTAGGGAATCCCTAAGGCAAACCATCACCTGGCAAACCAGACCGCAGGGCTGCAGCAACAAGTCCCGGGATGGCTTGGAAGGGACCCCAAAGCTCATCTCATGCCATCCCTTGGAGGGGACGCCCCGAAGCCCTCGCTGGAGGCTGCAGGTGCGGCTGGAACGCCAGCAGCTCCCTTGAGGAAGGCACAGCCCAGCAACCCCCGCAGGTTCTGCCAGCCCCGCTCCCGGGCCTTCCCCCCGCTCCTTACCGGGGACTCGCCGTGGCAGCGGCCGCGCTCGCCAAGGTCACCGGTCCCTGCCCGGGGGATGCTCCGGGATGCGACGCCCTTGGGCGAACCGAGCGGGGAAAGAGCGCCGGCACCGGGAGCACCGGGATGCGGGAATGCCGTGATACGGGAACAGCGGGATGTGGGATCACCGGGATGCAGGATCACTGGGCTGGCTGCAGGATCACCGGGATGCGGGATCACCGGGATGCAGGATCACCGGGCTGGCTGCAGGATCACCGGGATGCGGGATCACCGGGCTGGCTGCAGGATCACCGGGCTGGCTGCAGGATCACCGGGCTGCAGGATCACCGGGATGCAGGATCACCGGGATGCAGGATCACCGGGCTGCAGGATCACCGGGATGCGGGATCACCGGGCTGCAGGATCACCGGGCTGCAGGATCACCG